TAACATATAAACTGTATAATTTGTGCCCTTGATCTTGGCTTTAATGGGAATGATCTGTGCTCTAAAATTTTTGTTTCTACTACCATGAGTTAGATCATTTCCTAACAAAGATCAAACAGAGTATGACCAGTGACTGAATCAAATTGATGATAGACAGGAGCACCAGATTGTTGAAATGAATGAATGGAAAGTGCAGGTTCTCATACTGCTGTAGCTGGTGAGACTGGAGTGATCATGAATCGAGTCTGTTGAAGACTCAAAGGTGGACCACTGGGAGTAGTTAGAGACTTAAATCTGATAGTTGTTGTTCCGTCACTGTTATCATGCATGGTAGAGTCTATAGAAACTATTGGAGTTTCTTTTTTATTAAGAGACTTATAACTTGTTACCCAAGAGTCTGGTAATAGTTTAATCAAATCATCTTTGGAGATCTGCCTAGGAATATTGATGCAATGAGGAGTATTCTGAGAGTCAATAGTAAGAAGCAACGCATCAGTAGTTGTAGGAATAGCGAGATCAAGAGCATGGTCTTGGATTCGCCAAATCATCTAGTAATGTAAAGTAGTTGCAATACTTCCTGGTTCAAATCTGCACCGACAATCTGTAGTTGAACTTTAAGAGCTTTGGAGCAATGGACATTAGAGAGAGACATATTGAAATTAGGAAACAGTGTCATAATGAATGTTCTAGCATTCAAAGTTGTATGTGCCGTTCCTATTCAAGCATGTTGATATTGGACAAATCTGGTGTCCAACAAAGTGATTCGAACAGAGACTGGGAATCTTTTTTTGTCATGGTATGATAGAGCAAGTCTGATAGCACCAAAGTGTACATGAGAGTAAGAGTATCCTTCATGGATCCATTGGGCAATGGATTCTTGAGGAATTTCCAGAGTAATATATTGTTCTTGAGTTGTGGCTAGAATTTGACACTTATCAAAAGTACTAGTCTACACATACTCTTTTACTGGCTTTCTAGAAAGTTTAACAAGAGTTTTAAAGGTTTTAGACAAAGAAGAAGAAGACTTAGAAAATGTTGTATAAGGATTTACAATATGAGGGATAGTATCTTGGATTTTTTGGTTTTCTAGGATATTTCATACAAACTATCTACTTTAGAAGAAGATCTAAATAAACTAGTATTTATTGAAGCAATAAATGTGGATAAAGCTAAAGAAGATTTCATAAGTATGAGTTCAACCTCTTGGATGTGTAATACAACCTCAAATAGCAAGAATAGCTCAAGACCCATAACAAATTAAAAACATAAAATATAACTAGGACTTAAAGGAGCCAATATCCGAGGGGGGTAATCATCCATACACACATAAATTAGAACCAATAAATGACTTAAAGAAGGCAATAACCAAGGGAGGTAGTCCTCCGCACACACTAGACCTCAGATTAATTTTATATAAATTCATTTTAACTTCAAAACCTGAACAGATTAATCACATCATTTAACGAAACATTTTCTTTTAAAGCCCATATCACGTAATGTCGCCTATAATCCTGATGACCGGGTCAGATAATATCAAACAAATATGCAATTTGTAACCCGATGACGTGGCCATAATTTCAGGTTAATTGTGTATAGCATAATAGAATAAATTTAGTTGGACCAAAATAATCATGTTAGAGTTCAAAGTTCAGAAACTACGGAAAAAAATATTCATTTTCATATATTATTTCATAAGTCATAACTATAATTATAAAACATTTTCTTGGCTTTGTAAAATAAATATTAATTTACAAAAAAAGAAAAACATTTTCTTTAAAACGTTTTTAATAAAACATTTCAATTTTAAAAAAGCTTAAAATAAATATTGCTCAAGTAAAGAGATTTTTCATATAAAAACATAATAATTTTATTTGTTTTCTAAAAATTGTAAAACAAAACAAAACAAATTATTTTCATATTACAATTCATCATTTGCAACACACAAAATCGTAATTCATATTATAAGCATCAAAATACCTACATCATCAACGATTTTTAATTAATTACCTTAAGCAATAGCGAAACCAACTTGTATTAGAAACGTACACGTCCAAATTCTCACACGCAACTACTCGACCCTATACAATAATGAATAAATCTAAATCATACATATGAAATATTTCTAATATCCAACTCTCTTGTATTAATCAACATTCTAATTCCCATACATTTTATGGAAAAAGCTGAAAACTTCGCAAAAGGTTTCGCATAAGTAATCCTACACCCACAGGTTTCAGAAAGTCATGAAAACACCCATATTTTTAACTGACGTTAAGAAACTATTTGGACTCCCTAAGGTTTTCCATAATTACATGAGGATGATAAAAATGCCTAAATAGACACTTTCCCCCTTGAAGACAAAAATAATTTTATAAATTTCATATTCTTTTATTTTTAAAACATAATTCAAATTTTGATAAAAAAAACAAATTAAAGAAACCATAAAAATTAAAAAAAATATGAAAATACTAAAAAGCTAACAAAAAAACTACATGAAATTTTTATTTTTAAGTATTAATGGTTCTCAATATCAAATGTCAAGTTCACTAATACACCCTTTATCATGAAATATCAATTGCTTGTTGAACCTTGTATTGCTTGAAAATAGTATACTCCAAATTCATGGGTCCAAGAGTTTGATAAAACATTCTTGAGGAAAAAATTGTTAAATTTCATGTTCTTATTTGTTATTAATTTAAATTTTTAAGTTTTTGAACAAAAACCGTAATTTAAGTTTTAAATTTGAAGATTTAAAAAATATGTATATAATTTATATATATATAAAAGGAAATAGCCAGGGGTCTTTAATCTTTAATTTTTAAATTTTTTAGCTTTTTAATATTTTTACTATTTTTTCATTTTTCATTTTTACGGTTTCTTTAATTTTTTTTATAAAAAATATAAAATTATTTTTGTCTTCAAAAGGTAAAATGAGCATTATATATTGTCAAGGGGGAAGTTATATTTAAGCATCTTTATCACCCACCAGTGGTTATGGCAAACCTCAAGGGGTTAAATGTGTCTTCTGCCTTTCTGAAACATGTGAGTGTATTAGCTACTTATGTGAAACCTCATAAGTGAGTATTAAGTTCCCCTTTAATAAATGTTGATACAAAAATCTGCACCAACCAGAGAATTCCGATTGACCCTATCATAATCGGATGGATGTGAGCATGATTAAAGATAATCATCAATGAAGGTATAAAGATGCAATAAAGTAAAAAGTAATGAAAGTTTTTAAAGTGGTTCGACGAGGTAAACTCTGAAGCCTACGTCTACTGTTTTGTATTTTCGATAAGAGCTTACAATGTAAATTCTATGAAAATTTTGTAACCCCTTTTTCATAATTTGAGGGGGTTTATATACAAGATTTGTAAAAAGGAAATAGCGAAAACAAAAGGATTACAATTGATCTGAAATGTAATTCTAATATTCTCGCGATTGGGCACTGGGATTGCGCAGAAATTGCTGTTGATCTAATCTTTTTTGCAATAACTGAGATCTGAGATAATCCGGGAATGGATTGAATGATTGCTCGGATTATTCGCGACTATCTTCTGCTGGGTCGAGCTACAGCTCAACGAGCTTATGCTGGGTCGATCAAACATCGTTGTCGAGCTGGTTCTGGGTCGAGCATATCCTCACGATAGCCCAAGTTTGGCGAAAAAATCACATACAACAATAAAAGTTATAAACTATTTTAAAATGAATTTCCTTTCTAGTTCTTCAGTTCTGACCAGATTCTGTCAAAACTACGTAGTAAGTTCATTGTGCGAGAATTCTATAAGAATTTTTATACTCATTAAAAAATCACGAAAATTTTATGAGTTGTTCATGACATATTTCCAAATAGACATGAATTTTTCCAAAATTTTTAATACACTTTAAGATGACTAAAATAATTCCCGAAATGCAATAGTTTTGTGAAACTTGAAAAAACCAGGATTTTAAAACCATAATGAAAATTCAATATAAAATAGAATATTTAACAAAATTTTACGAAATAAAATTCTGCATATTCTCTCATGTGTTAAGAACGCCACACAAAAGTAATTTATTTATTTTATCCAAAAAAATATTAATAAATAAATCCAAAACCTAACATTGTCAGTAACAAAGCAAAATTCCAAGTTTATTGAAACTAAGTAAAACTAGATTTATCAAATTATATTCTAATTACAAAATAATATAATATAGTATTAAAAATTAAGAAATGTTAACTGGAAATTAGATGAAGCTTAAAGGTTTTTTTTTATAATGTATGGAAAAAAAAATGCAAATTTAGTTGCAATTATAAATTTATAGAAGAATTTGGATAAAGGAAATCAAAAGGCACTTGAATACTTATCCTTAAAAACAAATGAAATGTGAAGAGGTCTAAAAAGTATTACATTATAAACCACTACTAGATAATCGAGTCGAGTGATCAATTAAAACTCTTAGATATATTATTCGAGAGGTCTTGAGTTTGATTCATCTCAACTCCTAATAAAAGTGGCTACTAGAATAAATCCTAATAAAAATATGAGTCAAAATTTAAGATTATATATTAAATTTTCATCATTTTTAAGACCATGAACCAAATGCAAGCATTTATTATTTTCGTTGGATATTATTTAAAAAGAGAACCCCCATCATTTTATATTACTGCGGGTACACCCCAATTGAATCATAGTCCAATCAATTGGGCAATTACCCATTTGAATAATTGAATTATGGTACAATCAATCCTTAATCAATGTTGTTGTTCTTGGTGAATCGGGCTAGTGAATTTTAACAAATCCAACTCCGATACCAAACTCGAAGAATCAAAAAGGCCTATCTATCAGTAAGATGACGGCTTCGACCTCTCGAGTTTAAGGGCACAGAAATTTGATTTCTTTAACATCTTTAGATGTAAAAATTATATCATATGCAGACACAGAAGGGACATTATAAAGCAAATAGATATGGGGAGACAGCAGTTTGGTTTTCATATTCTTCAATCCAAATGCATAAGAGACTTCAATAAGATCTCTTATTTTCTTTCCACTAATAAAACACCACACTGGCGTTTATAATTATAACACGGATGCTTATACCTAATATTTATTTCCATAAGAATCTAAAGCTCATGGAAAATCTTGTACAAATACAATGAAATTTACCTCAACTGTATGTATTCTATGAAAAAGAAATCTTCTGTCATGTGCAGGGCAATTGATCTATGAACCATCAGCAGCAGCAGCAGCTAGAAGGCCGAGCTTTATGTAAGGCTATCACATGGCAGTGCAGCAATAATCAAAGCTTTGCTTTGCATTGTAATTTACTGATCATAGATGTCTACATATGGTTTTGCCTGCAAAGAGAAACATGGACCTCAACTAAGAAGTTCATACATTAAACAATTTAAAGAAAGAGATTAAAGAAGCAACGTCTCGCTCACAACAGCACTGTGAAGTTAATCAGAAAGTAATAAACAGTGCATTCAAGTTATCTAAAACCTGACTCAGACTCAAAGGGCTAACTAAGCTATAATAATTATAAATTTCAAAATTAAGTCTGAAAATCCATTTGTTTTATCCATTGAAGTACCTTGGAAGAAGGATAGCAAGGTCATCCGATGAGGGATGTATTATGAGGTCCCTGTGCTGTCACTGAAGGTATTGCATAGAGTCAAATGAAATATATGAAGCTGCAAGTCATTTTCCTAAAAAGCATGCCCTACTAGGGTTGTAGTAACCAGTCTTATGTATATTAGAGGCCTATGAATTTGTTCCAAAGAAAAGATCTCTTACTTCCACTAGGACTTCGATCCCTATATCTCCTTGCTTCCACATAAAAAGATGTAACCAAGCTATCCCTCATCATGTAAAATATCTTGTTTCCCCATCGCTAACAGCTAAAAGTCTTACCTAATCCACCACACATATAAGAGAAATAATAATTATTAAAAAAATTAAATATTGAAAAACATATGCCTATCTCAAAATCAACAAGAAGAAACCGCTTCACTCAACTTGTGAAATCACTACTCACTACACTAAGGGGGGAAAAACATATTTCAAAATAGACAACACGATCTGACCAATTATAGAACCAACGGATGGTCAACTTGTATAACAATGATGAACAAATCAGAAGAAAACATACAGGCCAGTGTGGTTAATCACTTTCATCCACAAAAATCACTTAGGAGTGAAATTGGCCTAAAGATCGTAAGAAGAAAAAGATACAGAAAAAGGTTAACTGCAAAAGGACTAAGAATTAGGTTGGGCTTTGAAGTTAGAGAACACATATAGAGCAACTATGAAGTTGATCCTTGGCAGGTTTAACTCAAATACCATGAATAGTAAATATCTCTCCAGGGGAATAAATAGCCAATATCCAGTTTTTGTATAAATTAAACAGTCTTTCACCATTCTTTTCAGCTTATTGCACAAACAAAAAATTAAAAAATCCAACCACTTCTGATTATCCTTGTCTGCATATTGTTATCTTTCTCTCACTGGCCTGAACATGTCATAGGTCTTTCCAGTTGAAAATTTGTGTGGTATTAGTTTGGTAATACAGTGGTGATAAGAGTAACCATCCAAAAAAAGGGTTTATGTTGATATAAACAACAACGCCGCTCCACTATCATGAACCGCTCTGAAGACATGGCTGAGGGATTCAGGGTTGAACGTCATAAAAATTATGCCTCCTTCAGTGAAACCAATTGACTTTTAGTTAAGATGGCAAAACGTGGTCCTAACAAGTGGTATCAGAATAAAAAATCATAGATTCAATTGAGGGAGTGTCAATCTTAGGGAAGGGATTGTTGGCAGCGATGCAAAGATATTGTTTATTCATGTGACAGCTCATAGAAATGCTCAAAGGGTTCAACATCAATTTTCATAAAAGGCTTTACAACACTTGGTGAAAATTTACTGGTTCTCAGCCTAGATGGAAAATCCTTATTGTAGCAGTTTAAGGGTATGAAACACGGTAACATAAAATGAAAATTTAAATATAATTTTAAGATGTTTAAGTAAGACAGATAAAGCAAGAGCATAGAATAAAAGACACGCATCAATAACTGAAAAACTTCAAAAGGAAAAGACAGACATTTGGGGGGGCTCAAGGCAAACCTTGGGGAAGACAAAAATGTAGATGTATTTGAGAAGCCAGCAAAAACATTTGAGTAGGACTTGGTCAAATAAGAGAAGTTCGCAATTGGAGGTAGAGCAGGAACTCTTTCACCTTTCTTCAAAAGTTCCGGCAAGTTAAGCCTCTGCAAGGTCAAGACAGCTCTAGATTCTTTCCAAATGAAGGCGAGTATGCCATTTTGAGTTACAAAGAGGGAACCAGGCTTTGAGCCAGGATATCTAAAACCATACCCATTAGCTATACCTTCTCCGCTGAAAGCATGCTTGACATTGACTGGAAGGGAATCTGCATCATTATCCCAAGGAAATGGATCCAGTGAGGGCTCATCTACATTCACTATAAACATTGCTGACCCATTTGGATGCAGAACATAGTGGGTGCCTTCCAAAATTTTGGTCGCAATGAGAATCCTTTGCCCGCGAGACTCCTCATAAGATAGCAAAAGAAAGAACAGAGCTTTTCCAGGCTTGTCTTCAGTAGGCCTCCCAGGTGGCCAACCAAAAGTTCCTCCCCATAGACCAGCATACTCTTCGTCTTCCCTTGGTGCCTGCATGGGCAACTTGTAAAGGGCAAACCGACTGTCATGCATGTTCGGCCATGCTCGATATGAAGATAACCTTATAGTGGAGGCATGTAATATTAGTCCTATTGTATCTCCCAACTTCAGAAATTCATGAAGTTGCGCATGCCTATTCTCACTTCCTGAAGAACTATTCTTTGAAATTGCACGACTGCCATTTATTGAACTAGACTTCCCTAAAATCTGTCTAATGCTATCCTTAAAATACCCTCCAATAGTTTTCGTCTTGTTGCTATGTGTGTGTCCATGATCCCCATTGAGCGAACCATGTAAACCACTTGGACGATCAAGACTCTTTCTGATCTCACTCAATTCTATCTGAGTAGGATCTGAAGGAAGTTCAGGACCTGCCCTCCAATTGATGTTGTCTCCTCCAAGCTTGTACATGCGCAGAAGCAGTTTTCTTCGTTCCAACAATACAGCCAAATCATTTCCAAAATTCTCCATATCATCCCTAAAATGAGGAAATAGCGGCCCACCTGCTGCATCAGGGACCTTCAGACGAACTTGGCCTGTTACAACCTCAAGCAACTTTCTTCTATCACTAAAAGCCAACTTGCTGAAAGGTACCACAGCCTCACTCTGTCCTAATCCCCTCTGTGACCTCGACAAGTTACTATTTGACCTACAAACCTTCTGCGATACCTCCTTCTCTGAACAATGAGCAAAGCTCTTACTTTGCAACAATTTACACCTTTGATTCTGTTGCTTAGGCTGAACCTCAAGCAACAATACATTACAGCTCTGGTCAATACCCTTCACCGAACCAGGATAAAAATAATCACAACCCTTCTCCTTTCCATGAAGAAAAAACGTTGTAGCACCATTGAAATCACCGACAATTTCAAACACCGGCGCCCACAAAATGGGGCCATCCTTAATGCCTAATGGACCAAGCTCTTGAGGTATTATCCGGCAGCCAACAACAGAAACAAAACCAGGCATAACATACACCACATTGCCAAGCTCAGGGTTCTGATGAACCCAAATTCCAATCAATGGCTTAACACTAATGAGAAAGCGGCAAAGCGCCTTATACGAAGACACCCCCTTTCTCCATTCAACAAGGTCTCCATTACTAAGAATTCCCACCACATCACACTGTGTAAGCCAAATCTTTTCAGAAGCCACAAGTGCACATAAACTCTTACAACATAAACTAAGATTACATATATCTCTTGGTGGCAAAGACCTTGATATAATTGCAAATATATCATCAGGCAAAGCCACAAGCAAACTAGAACCACAAGATTCAGGCAACATAACAATAAACTATATACAAAACTCCACAATCAACAATCAAACAACACAATTAAACAAAAAAAAAAATGCTTACTTCAAAAGGGTTTAAAACAAGAACCCACCAAGGAAACGAATCAGATTCTCCGATTTGAGACAAAATTGGAGTGGGTATGTGTGAAAATATCTGAAAACCTAGGATGAGTTTGAGAGAAAAGGTGAAGTCAAGCAAAGAATCAAAGTCCACACCCAACAGTGGAAACAGTGAGTTTGAATGGCAAAGGAATAATGAGAGAGCATTGGAATTTTCAAAAAGAAAATAATGATGATTAAGATTGATAAAGGTCGAGGTTGAGTTGAGTTTGGTTTGGTTTGGCAGCCAATATTGAAGAGAGAGAGCTTAAAGGAGAAGCCAAACCTCAAAAGTCCAAAACAACTTCTGCCATTATCATTATCTTTTAACTCATTATTTGATTCCCTCTACTTCATGTGTTACATGCTAGGTGGGCCATCTCTTGTTGCATGATTGCATGTACATTATTGTAATTTCACGCTAATTATATTATTTTTATTCTTTTATTTAGAAAAGAATGACTTGTATACTTAATTTAAAATTTTATCACAAGATTCTTTTTCATGTTTATTTTCAAGATATGATTTTTTAACGAGAGAATTCCGATAATTACCCTTACAATTTAGCTATTTTTCAAAATATATAAATTTTAAATAGTTTTAATCTTGAATTATCAAAATATATATGATAAAACAAAATTTTCTAAAGGAACATGAAACATATATAACATTTCAAAATCTAATTAAATTCAAAATTGTTTAAAATCAGTCAATTTTTTTACTTCTGGTAATATATGCAAGGGTTGGAATACTATAATTTAGTTTTTTTATTTATTTATTTAATTTTTTGACATTCATTATGAGTTGTTGATCCAACAATGATGACATAAGGGTTTAAGGTATTTAATATTAACTCAACATTTTTCATCACCCTTAGATCAATAAAGATGAACAATTTCCTCAAATACTACAGAAAATCTTAAATAATTTTATTGATTTATGATTTTTAGTGAGGAATTTATGAATTTACGAATCTATTTCTATTCTTATCCAAAATAAGTTTGATTGATTGAGGATGATTTGTCTCATTATTGGAATATACAATTAAAGCATATGATAAACTTCTAATTTTCTAATATGCATACGAAGCATCTTGCTGACCGTAAACTATAGGAATATAAAATGATTTAATTAACATTAAAAAATGTTAATGAAATTTAAATTACATTTATGGGAAAGAGACGGTTATATATATATATATATATATTTTTTTTTTTTTTTTTCTTAAAATCAACTTCATATTTTATCAAAATTGAGGCCCCATTACATTGTTGCTGACCAGTGACTTTAATGGGCCTGCACAAAATGCCAAGAGTAGAATTTTTCCTTAAAAACTAAATATATGAAAAGACTGTTCTAACGGTGGTTGAAGACGGTTTTTTAATGTTTTTTTTTTTTTTACAAATTTTACTTTCAACATCTCTAATAGTACTCTTTATTTTAAAGAATATCTCCATTGAGTTTTAAATATAAAGAATAAAATTTTTATTCAAATCTAATACACTCTTTAAATTTTAGGAGAAATAATATGTTTTTTTAAGAAGAAAACCTAATAAGAGAGATAAATCATAAATAAAATGTATATAAACTTGTAATTTATTATTTAAAATTAGGACAGAAAGTAAAATTTAACTCTATAAATATGGAGAGTCAAACTCACTCTTTAATTTATATTTAAATAATAAAAGTCTGTTGGACTCTTATTTTCATAGATAAACTCTTTATTATAAAGAGTTTGGATCACATAAAGAGTCATTTGAAGATGTTCTTATAAGTTTACAATAGAAAAACGACATTTTCCCACCCAAGGCTTGACAAAACTATACTTTTTCACCCGTCAAATTTCAAAACAATACTTTTCCACCCATAGTTACGTTATGTTATGAACATCCGTTTCAAATAAGAGTAGGATGGTCCATTTACATAAAACCGCAAAAATAAAAATTTAAAAATTGAAATCTGATCCGCGTAGCTTTTCACTTTCTCTTTTGTTTTCCTTTCCTTACTTGCTCTTTCTATTTTTTTGTTTCTTATCTTTTCTTCGCCATTATCTCTCCCTTGTACGCTGAAGGCTACGACACCAGCGTAACTTGCAACTGCCAGCTGGGCTAGCGGCGTCGCAACCTTCAGCCACGCGACTTCTCTCTTCTTCAATGCCTCTTCTTCATGCCATAGTTCATCCCCGATACTCTAATGATCGACCTTTGAACTGTGACAAGTCTGTATATTTTGTATGAAATTTGAAGGACTCATAATATAGCAATGCATCAAATCCATGGCTTGGCCAGCATTATTTTTCTCCCCTACACATCATGTGGGTCGTTGCCGAGACAAGAACAATTTCATTTTTCTTTTTCATGGGTTTCAGTAATGGGTTTTATGGGTTTGATTTTTTTTTTCTTCTCTTCTGCTTATTATGACTATGATTGTTTAGTTGAGATGCAAGATGAATTTGATTGTGCAGTTGAGATGGAAGATGAATTTTGAATGTGGTGTTAAGATGGGGGATGAATTTCAATTGTGTTTGAATTAATGGGAAATGATTTTTTCTAGCGAATCTGGATGAATTTGGGTTAGAGTTTGAATTAATGGGAGTTGATAGTTTCTGCAAATCTTGGTTGAATGAAAGACTGCAGTAGTCATTCACTTGGATAGTTCATGTGCGTCCCCTTAAGCATCCGTAAAAGAGCTGCAATTCCAGTTTTACCAAACTTCTCCTTCATCTCTTTAAGATGCAATTTTTTGTACAATCTTTTTCGCAAAATTTTTGCGAAATCTGTTTTGGAAGACTTCTGTAAATTTTGTTGCAATAAAGATTAAGTTTAATTTTTTTTATTAATTTGATACTAATTTTTTATTAATTGAAGTTGTTTTAATAATGGCTGGCTTATGGATTAATTTAAAGTTAATGATGAATAATGAAGATTATTTTGAATATGTATTATTTAGATAATTATTAATAAAGGTAAAATAGTCATCGACATCGATGTCCATCTGTTCATCATTGTTGTCAACAATGTCATTATTCAAATCTTCAACAGCATCAGTTGTTGTCTCCGCACCAGCTCCGTTGGCAAGGTTGGTACCTTTGCATTTGCTACCCTTTAAGGCTGAAGGAATCTCCTGATTTTCTTCATGTACTGAATGACTGGTCCCACCTACATCTGCACATCAATAAATTATGAGCTACGTTAATAAGTATTATTCCCAACCATACAACAAATTGACTCCATAACTATCCAATCGTAATACCTTTGACATTGCTATCAGTACAAACTTTGTGGCTCTCTTGACATTGTTCACGAACTTTTGCGCTTTCCATCGTCATAACTAGGCAACGTGGTGGTCCTCCCATCGTTCCTGCACACTAACCCACAAAACAAAGCACATCAAAGAGGAAAAGAAAACAAAAATTATAGAACTGACACTTTATAAATGCTAGTATACATTGATCGTACTTTCCTGGTGAACTAAATGTTAGTTTCCATAAGTAAATCAAAATGCCACATTCACCATACTAAGACAACAAACATTAAACGCACAGACATGCAGACATCCTTTTATACATCACTACCAAAGTTAAGAGTTTTTTACATTCCATAGTAGTGAGTTTTACCTTCCTGTACTAACTGCAAACATACAACATTACCATTTAATTACTAGACAGATATGGTTTTCACAAAAACATAACAAAAGACATCATCCTGTATGCAATTAGAATATAGGCAAAATACAAAAAGGGGAATACAACCACTGTGTCAGCGTACTAATAACCTTGTGCACATTACAAGACTTCACTAGAAATCAAACATTGGTTGGTACTCATTACTTGCTCCAAGCTGCATCTTCACAAAATCTCTCTGCATGTGCATTGGTAACCCAAACAAGATATCTATCTTGTGAGGTTCCTAGCAAATCTCCATGGTGGCTGCCAGTATCTCAGTGATTGTGAATCCATCCAATCGAGAAATGATCGAATACACCTGCCCTTTACGGTCTTTCTCTTAGGTCTCCTTCTTGAAGTAGTCAGCAATACCCTTCAGCTCAGCTCAGGTCCTAGCCAAGGCAATCTAAAACCTACCCAATGTGGCATGCCAGTCTATTGCTTTTCCAGCCTTTTTTTTCCTCCTCTTACTACTGACCGCAACTCTGCTTTGACTAGCAGCGGCTGCCTGACAAGTAGAATCAACCACATCATCCTTTGGCGGGGCACTAGTGTGCCCGTCGACATCGAGATCTACATCGACATCGACATCGATGTCCATCTGTTCATCATTGTTGTTAGCAATGTCATTATTCAAATCTTCAACAACATCAGCTGCTATCTCCGCACCAGCTCCGTTGGCCCTGTCTTTGCCGTAGATGCCGATAAAGAAATCATAGTGCACCCACGGTTTGTGTCGCACTGCTCTTGCAAAATGATGACTCTACAAAAAAGTTAATCATCATAAGATATATTACATTTGTATGAGTACATATAAATGTGAAGTCCAGAAAATAAATGTACACAAATAAACCAACACAAGCATACTTACCTGGACCCAGTTATCGAAGACATCCTTGGTACATGTAATGCATTTCTCCTCATCATTCCACCCGAAGCCGCTACCTTTCTCAAATATCTCGTTGATTGCATTATATTGCCTCCTTAACATCTTGACCCTTGAGTCGATATGCGGTTGTGCTTTCAGACTACAATGAGGAAGCTTTTCCTGTATCATCTTTTCGACCTCAGCTAAGTAACCGCATTTGAACCCCTACTCAGTTATCTAAAATGGCTGCTCTTTCAGCTCTAGCAGACACTCCACCAACACAGCGTCCTCTTTTTTTGTCCACTGCCACTTACTTTCCTTAGCCTTTGCCTTTCCCTTTCTGCCCTTTTTCGTAGGCAAAAGGTTGTCATGCATGCTAATGCTCCTGTCGGACTCATGGGATCAAGATGTTGACCTCTCCATATTG